AAAAACTGAGACACCATCAAAACCCATGCATTGAGTCAAGAAGATCCAGCATCCTAAACTGGAAGCAAGGTATTATAAATACATCTATGCCAGCCTAATGGATGAAGAAGGAGTGGGTTTTCTACAAGACAGTAGCCGGATGCATTTAACATCTGTCCAAGATGAATATTTTTATTGAAACACTATCTCTAGCCTTTACTCAACCAAGAGGCCAAAGGCAGGGGGTGTGTTAAGTCAGAGTTGGCTTCTAGCCTTTGCCTAATATCATTAGGTATCATTCAAGGCAGCAGGACATGAAGCAGGTTGTACTGGGTTACATACTACCAGTAGCAGGATAATTTGACTTGACAAATAATAGCTTACCAAGTTGGCAAAGGCACGTATATAACAAGTATTAAATATGTTTCAATTGCAAACTTTTAATGTCTATTTGATAACAGGCACAAAAAACATTTTTTATATGTTTTATGAAAGGTTTTACAACACAGAAATGAAAACTTTGAATTTAAAGATCCATTTAGAAATGACGTATTATTCTGTCTACAATATAGGTATTATTATCTGTCTCGTAACCCAATACATTTCTTTCCTCATCTAAGCCTAGGCTGCAAAAGAAACACACTAACAACCTCCAATGAAATGTTTTATGAGGCTCTTATGATATATAGGCGCAAAGATGCCAGTTGGGGCTAAAAACATTATAACCATAAAATATTTAATTAATGATAAAAAATTTGTTTATTTTCAAAACTAGCAAAGAAAATTAGTAAACAATAAAAAATTTAAGGTAGGAAAAAACTTAGTAAATTTGTAACTGTTACAAATTATTTTATATTTTTAGTTATATTAACTTGATTATTTAGCTAATTACACAATTACATGTTAAACATGTAGTTGTGTAATTAACTAAATATTCAAGTTAATATAATAAAAAAGAAAATAATTCAATTTTAAAATTAATTAATTCTTATGTAAATGTAATTTTAAAAGAATTAAAATTTTAGTTTAAAAATTAAAGAATTAATTATATATAAAAAATTAATTTTAAGATTAAATCTCCATGTTAGAGTAATAAATCTCCCTTTTGTAATGTTGAAAGAATTAAGTAAAATTTGTTGCATTCTTTTATGTTTTTAATAATAAAAACGTTTTTTAATGAAAAAATTTGTTAAATTTGTTAAGTTATTGAATTAAAAGATTCAAAAAATCAAATTTGTTAAACTGATTTCTTAGAGCACGTATATTATTTAATATTTATTAAGTAATATAGATTAATAAAGGACAATATATCGTGATACAAATTATAAATTTCATTTTTTCATGTTAAAGTATTAAATTTTTATTTATTATATTATTATGTTTACTATTATTCATATAATTTTAAAAAAGGGTGCTCATGTTAATATAAATTTTTTTAATTATCGGGTGGAAACGGAAAAATCCGGTCATCTTTAAATTGAGGTTTCTCCAAAACCACAAATGCTTTATTTTTTTATTTTTTTTTTAATTAAACCTTACTTCCTTATCTTAAATGGTGTTGATAAACTTTTGTTTACAAATTAATAATTTGCAAAATGTTTTGGAAACAAGTTGAGGTGCGTAAAAAGGTTGTGAATTTTTTTTGCAAAAATCCATCGACTTCCTATCGCTTGATTGCTAAATGCACAAATGTCCCAAAATCTACAGTCATAGATATTATAAACAAGTACAAGACTACTCAAAGCTTCGAAAGAAAACTTGGAAGTGGAAGAAAAAAAACTTTCCATAAATCCAAAAAGGTAAAGTCGATTTTACGTTCAATAGCAAGAAATCCAAATCAGTCACAGCGAGATCTAGCAAGAAAATTTAAAACTTCCTGTTCTTATATCAAAAAACTACTTGAAAATGCTGGGATTAAAGCATTTCATAAAAAAAATACACCTAAGAGAAGCTTAAATTATGAAATTAAAGGAATTCAATGCGCAAAGAAGTTGGTTAAAATAATGGCGGATAAAAATATGTGCATAATTGACGACGACGAAACGTATTGCAAGGTGGATTTTTCACAACTTCCTGGTCAACAGTTTTACTATGAAAACAAAGATAAACCTGTTGATGATCAATTTAAATATATTCAACAAGAAAAATTTGCATCCAAGTTCCTTGTGTGGCAAACAATTTGTAGCTGTGGTATGCAGTCCTCTTGTTTTGTCACTAAAAAAGACCTTGACTGCCAATCTCTACATCAAAGAATGCCTCCAAAAAAGACTTTTGCCTTTTTATAAAAAAACACAAATACCGATGTCTCTTTTGGCCCGATCTTGCTGCCTCTCTCTATTCTAAAAAAGTTTTACAGTAGTGCAAAGATAATAATGTGAAAATTGTTCCTAAAGATGCGAATCCTCCAAATCGTCCTGAAGAGCGCAAGATTGAAGATTTTTGGGCAATAGTTAAAGAAGTTCTTCGTAAGACAGGTGGACTAACAAATAATAAAAAGGACTTCCAAAAAAAGTAGATTAATGCCACCAATATGGTGAAAAAAGAAAAAGTCTGTAAAATGATGGCATCAACCCGCTATAAAGTTCGATTTCTTGCCAAGCAACCCATCAAGCCCCTTAAAATAAGTTGAAACTCTAATTTATGTAAACACATTTAATAATAAAAAAATTGAAATAAAAAATATTTATGGTTTTAGAGAAATTTCAATTTAAAGTTGACCGGAGTTTTCCGTGTCCACCCGATAAGTTGAAATTAGCAATTAATTTATAAACAACTTTAAAAATTTTAAAATATTAAAAGATTACAAAACATAAATAACATAAAAAAACATATTTTATTAACATAATTAATAACAACTGTAAAATACTCAAACAATTAAAAACCAAAAGTTAAATTCTCTTAATTATTTATTTGAAAGATAAATTTTCTCAAGATTACAAAAGAGAGATAGAATCCGATCATTCTAACATCAAGGTATGTAATATATTTTTAAAGTTCTGTTTCAAGTTGAAAATTAAATAAATGAGAAAAAATATTTTTTTAATTATCAAAGGTACATTTTAATTAAGTAACTTTCAATATAATACATGCAACTTGAACACTAGTTTAATTATTTACCAATAAACAATAGTGGACAAACAAACAATAGTAGGTGCGTCCAGTAACTTAGTTATCAACACTAATAACTCTTCCCTTAGTCATAAAATCACAATGTAAATAACTAATCAAATTTTATAAATCCTGCTTTACCTTTTCGCAAAGAGTTTTTCAATATAAATATATTTCAATATATTTCGCAAAGAGTTTTTCAATATAAACAAGACCTATTGATCAGGGTTACTTAAGATAACAAACATTTCATTTCCAGAAACAACATTCCTTTATTTCTGTTCAAAAAACAATTGTGAGGGAACGTTGTTTTCAGAAATATGAATGTTCTTTCACACTTCTGTATACAGTTTCAGTAATATAAGTACATGAATATAATTTCAGTGGTATAAATATGGTTTCAATAGTATAAATACATGTTTATCGTTTCAGCTTTCATTACTTTACAGCCATTAACTTATCATAATTGCATATTAATTTTTTTTGACTTAAAAATCTTTTTTTACTTCTAAAAATTACAAGTTTATAATTTAAGTCCAAGTATGGACTATAAAATATAAACATATTTTATAGTCCACATGTTTGTTTATATATATATATATATATATATATATATATATATATATATATATATATATATATATATATATATATGTATATATATATATATGTATATATATATTTTTTAATTTTTATTTTAATTCACCTCCTCAAGGCCGAGAAGGCCACTACAGACAAGGAGGCTACTTATTTGTGGCTATAACCCTCTTTCAACTCTCTAACTCCGAAACACGAACCTTGATGAACAAGGCCGCTGCGCGGAGAAACGAGTTGAGCACGGTATTACCAGGGACATGGTGAGGATCGAACTCCGAACCACTCATTTATGAAGCGAGCGCTCTACCACTACACCACTACCGCATGCATATATATATAACGCATATATATACATAAACATGTGTATGATTAATAATGTACACGTTTATGATTTGTTTTTAAAGCAAAAGCCCTTTAGTTTTTATGCTTGAATACTTTGTTTAGTAAAATAAAGTTCAATTTACAAGATAATACATAGATCATCCAGGTCATATTTTAAAAATCAAGAAAATTGTTTGGGTAAAATATTCGGAACATATTTTCCTCCTAATTTTGCTTTTAGCTGAGTTGATTCTAATTTTTTTTTGGAACTTTTCTTCACTTTTTTAAGAGTAATGAGTGAAAAAGGTTAAACAACAAATAACTGACAAAAAGATATATCTAAACTTGTAAGTGTGGAAAATGTTTTGGATATCCAGAAAAACTGAAAGCTTTAAAAAAAGAAAAAAATAATCAGGATTCCGAAAAATATCTGAAAAAAGATAATTCCTGCCTAATAGATTATAGATAATAATGATAGGGAGATTCTGATGATGAAGAAGATTGGTCCCTAATATTATTCCAAAAGCAAAAGCACTTTAGTTTATATGCTTTGTTTGGTAAAATAAAGTTCAAATTACTAGATTGGTCCCTAGTCCCTATTGTTCTTCAATAGAATTTAGATCAACCTACTTTAGAGACGCGATTAGAGTTTTTTTCAGTCAACATTTTTTCAAACTATAAAAAACAAAATTCAAAAAATTTAATGATGTAGAGAGTTTGAAGGTAAAAACTTATGTAAGACTATATTAAGTCAAAAATAGTCAATATATTTTTAAAATCATTTTAATCACTGTAAAACAAAATTCATATTCAAAAAATATATGATAATAACAGCAAAATAAGCAAAAGCAAAAAATAAAATTTATATATATATATATGTATATATATATATATATATATATATATATATATATATATATATATATATATATATATATATATATATATATATTCATAATTATAAACTTCCTTATTTATTAAACATAACTATTCACCTTCCTTGTCATTACATGTGATCCAAAGTGTGTTACAACTGATTATATAACACAAATCACAAGGGTTATGTGTAGAAGACAACATTTTCAGTCCAAAGACTAATTGGAATGTTGGAGACAGTAACATATTTAAAATATCTTTAGCAGGAGGTCTTTTGGAAGGCTCTTGATGCCACATGGATATCATCAACTTTGTTAAATGAACCAACCCATAAAATGCATCAGAAATGCCAAAAAATTTTGGTCGAAATCCCATTATGGCATTGTTAGTTATTTCATATGCGTCTAAAATCATAAAACAACCTTCGATGTGCAATTAACTCGTATAGAACAATTCCAAATGAGTATATATCAACACTTGAATTATACTTATCTGATGATTGGTACAAAATTATTTCTGGAGCAGTGTAACATTTAGTGTCAAATAATGTTTTCATACCAAACGGACTCAGGAAGCTTGCTGTACTAAAATAAGTTAACTTAATATTGATTTTTGCATTATGTTCAAGCGAGAATAATAAAACATTATCCAATGTTATACCACTATGAATGATAGATTTTTTATGCATGAAAGCTAGAGCACTTGCAATTTGCTGGCAAATTCGAAACTTAACAATTCTGGGGATAACTTTGGATCTTTAATAAATGACAGATGATAAAGCACCATGACTAGCCCATTCAATCACAACAAAAAATTCTGGTTTCAGTGAGAAACCTAAAAATTGATTTATATAAAGATGATGACGTAATTTACTGAGCATTAAAATTTCTTGTCGAACTTCGTAAAACTGATTCAATAAATTGTCCACATTAAATTTATAAAACTTTATTGCAGCTATAATATTGTACTTAAATAAACCACTATATACTTTTCTAAACTTTCCTTCTCCCAGCTTGCATTCTTCATTTTTTTCACTATAAATATCATTGTAATTACATTTCATCGTTTTCGGTAAATCTTGAAAAGTTAGATCAGGAAAACATTCTGCTATATTAACTACTCTTGGTTTGTGCTTTTCTTTACATATTATATTGCATGTGTTGTCATCTGAGCTTTCTAAAAAATTTTTAAAGGCATTACTTATGTTAAACAAATGAGGTGGATTTATGCCCAAAGTTGTACATATGGGGCATGCCAGAGAAGAAATAACTTGAGAATCTGACATCAACAAACCTTGAAAGCATTCTTTTAAAAGTGTTCTAATATGATCAACCACATAGCTGAGAACTCGATAACCTAATGAGGATTTAGTTACAGATATTTCAATTGTTTTACTATCTGCTTTATATGAAATAGGTAGCTGTTGTACAGAAAAACTCAATTGTGGATAATTAAATATGATTCCTTGATTCCAGAAACTTAAATAGCCATTGTTCAACAAATAAGTTGGCTCTCCATAATCGTTAAAATGTTCTTGATAATCTTCATCATTGTTGGACAATTCATTGATAAGCTGAGATTCAATTTCATCATCTTTATCATTTTCTTTCTCTTTCCTACAAAATTCAAATTGATTGACAATGCATGTTTTGGATCGTAACTTGGAAGTTTCGGTGGAATAAGAACTCTATGATCATCAATCTTGCAAGCAATTTGAAATTGTGATAATAAACTTATACATATCTTTATTAAATCAAGATTTTGGATTCCCAATTCTTCTTTTAAAATCAACTAAAAAATAATAAAAATAAAAAAAATTAACCTTTAAATACAATGCAACTTTATGTTGCGTTAACAATGCAAGATTACAATCTACCTATGCAGTCATGTGATTGCATAGGTAGATTGTAAATTATAATACTGCATTAATACAATATTACAATTTAAAATGTATCACATGAATTTAAAATTGCAAATTTATATTGCATTATTATTGCAATAATATAACTTAAATGTTATATATAAATATATTATTATAAAAAAGTTATGTTATATATTATTGTAATTACAATAATATATAATGTTATATATTATTGTAATTACTATTATGTTATATATTATTGTAATTATTATTATAATAATATATAACATAAATTTTTTATAATAATATATTTATATATAACATTTAAGTTATATTATAACTAATATACACTAATTATTAGTATATATTAGTTGTTTTATAAAAAGTTAATTTAATTCAGATGGGCATCTTTTATAAGATTGTGATAAAAAAGGATACAAAAAATTATTGTAAGAAGAAATGAGTATAAGTAATTTACTATTAATCTTTTTTTTGCCAAATTATCTTAGGAATTATCGAAACAAGACAAGATTCCTACCAATACATTTTTGACCAAGTTAAAATAATGCTATTAAATAACAAAGCTTTCATTTTTTTATCTTTACAAACTAATAAAATATTATGAATATTAAAATATTATATATATATATATATATATATATATATATATATATATATATATATATATATATATATATATATATATATATATATATATGTATATATATATTGCTTCAAGCGTAAATTCAAGCAAAAAACTTATTAATAGAATTATACCCATAAAAGAAGTTGTTGTTTTTTAATTATTAAATAATAAACTCTTTATAAGATGTTGTTTAAGTCAGAAGTTTTTAATAACCAATGTTTTTTCATTTTTTTGATAAAATCAATCATTATAACAAAACCCACAAACTAACAAACATTAAAATATCAGAAATATAAAAGTTAATGTTTTTTATTTTTTAGCTAATAATTTTTTGTTTTATTTTTTATTTTTTTATATAGGGTAATTTTTTTTGTTATTGCTTGCTATGAGAAATTGTCTAAATAAATATTCTTGGTCTTGCAAGATGATAAATAAAAATTTTTTATTATGTTTATTTTATGATTTCTTTTTTTACATACCTATAACATCTTTTTAATTTTCTTTTACTGAAAATTTTTTGATAGAAAAGTAAGGTAAAATAAAAATAAAACTTTGTTTTTTCTTAAGTTATTACATTTGTAAATAGTGTGAATATCAAATTTAATTATCATGCAAACTTTTTTATGTAACTGTCATTGAAACTTCATAAGTGGTTTTTATAATATTTATTACTTCTTTTATCTTACCACTTAAATGATTTCTTTAGACTTCTTTAAATATTAAAAAATGATAAAAATTGGCTTACATGAAATGGCTTACTGCTTACATTAAAAGACTTTACGCGTAAGTAAATAGCACCATTTAATGTTTTAAAACGAGGCAAAAAAACAATGCTTTAAAACATTAATTTTAATGCTTTAAAACATGACCTGATATATATATAAGCAGTAGTGGTGTAGTGTTAGAGCGTTCGTCTCATAAGCAAAAAGTTCCAAGTTCAATCGCCACCACGTCCCTGGTAGTACCGTGTGCAGCACTATGTGATGGTTATGAATTAGTATAATAATATATACAAACTATACAAAAAAAATACACACACCCCTAGGGGTTGTACCATACACCACAAATATCCACAAAAAAATATATAAATTTTTTGTATTTAAATATGTTAATAATTTTATTTAATTCATGTAATACTTATTTCTTAGTTAATAATATAGTTTTGATTTTTTTTTATAACTTCAATTTTTTATTATATTAATCTGAGCAATATAACCTTGCTATAATAAGATTTATGTTGTTACAATTTGTAAAAGTTGAAGTAAACTTTATTATTATTTTATTTAATGCATTTTAGTGTCTATATTTGTTATATATTTTATAATATAAATGTTTTATTTTTTAGTAATTATAATAAAATTAGTAATAGCATATGAATAATAAAAAGCAACTTATTATATCATGGCAGCATTTCATACACACAATAATACTGACAAACTATTATTTGGGAAAGGTTCTAGATTTCCAACAGCAATAATACCTATAAGAAGATTTTTTTAAATATTGTTTTTATGTAAGCAGAAAAAAAATGCTTCAGGTAAAGGGTCCATTTCCACTCATTAATGTTACTGATTAGTTAAATTGAAATTATATACATAAATTTAATTATCCAACAATCAAAACAGAAAGAAATTTGTAGTATGTAGATTAAAAAAAAAAATTTTAACAAAATTTCAAGAAATTTTTATGAATTCTTTTGACAACGTGTTTAATTTGTTGCAATTGTTATGGATACAAAATCAAACATTATGTTATGATACAGGAATAGAAAACAAGAAATTCAGTTTTGAAGTCCAAGTATGTTTTTTGGAAAAAAGTGAATTAATTTCTGTTTAAATATGTGTTCAAGTTAATTGATGGAAAAACCTCTGGCCCAGCATCAATTAATGATGATATTGATAAAAATAACAGAAAACTTAGCAGTAGTTCCTTTCAAAAAAAATAAAAGGTGTTTTTTATTTACTTTCTGAAAACATTCTCAGTACATTAGACTCAGAATAAAAGTATCTTTACAGAATCTGTTTATCTATTCAATCAGGAGAAATTTCAAATAAAATATCTAAAAGCTCTCCTGGAAACATTCATTATGCTTTGTGGCTCACAAAAGCAAATCGTATTCTATGTTTATAAAGTACTGGTCAAAGTTATAGCACAGCCACTTAAAATAAGATATGTCATATAAAATCTTTGCATGCATCATATTGTTGTATTTTTTAAACGCTTTTACATTAGTCATTTAAAATGTGCACATAAAATTAAAAATTTTGTTCATTATTTACCTTAGAAATAAACATCATAGTTAATTATTTAAAATAGCAAATCTTATAATTTTTTAAAGTTTTTTCAGTAATTTTATAATTAAAACATAATTTATGTAATTTATGTAATTTATGTAATGGGTTGCAAAGCAGTGAGCTCTGAGAAACAGCAAATTTTAAAAAAACTTCAACAGCAATTTAATATTGCTAATATTGCTAAACGTGCTAAAACTTCCAGAAAATTTGTCGACAATATTGCTGATAAAATTAAATTTACCTACAAAAAAGCCGTGGGCTAACACATCCATAGTATGGATGTGCTATATTCATGGTGAATACATCCATGGGCTAGCACATCAGAGCCAGACGTAAGACCTACAGAATGGATTTCAATTGATCGAATGCACACATTAGTCACCGTAGGCCACAAGCCATCACTCTTAACCAAAAGAGCTACTGCCCCGTGCTGGTGTGGAATGATAAACGAAAAAGTTAGAAAAAGGATTGAAAAGTTACACACAGAAACAACATTATTATCAAAATAAGGCTCAGAAAAAGAGCACTTTGTGTAAATGTGAATCGAAATAAATGGCATCATGTAATATTTAGTAACAAATTACATTTTGAAGTCATAAATAGAAAGAATTGTAAGTTTTTTTCTTCCCAACAAAAAAGATTTAAAGAAAACTTAATTTAAAGAAAACTGTTTAATTTTACAACAAGAGCACAAGGTGATAGTGAAATTATTTATGTATAGGGATGTTTTTCTGCAAATGGAATAGGTTATTGAAGTTTTATGAAGGTCCTTATGAAGGTTTTATGAAGGTTTTATGAATGCTTCTCATTATTTAGAAGTTATTGCTGAATTACCTGACTATATAGACACTCTTTTTGATTCTGAAGCTGAAGATTGTTATTTTATGCAAAACAACACACCATGTCACAAAGCTAAAAAACAACAACAACTTTGGAATGGTTTGAAACGAAAAATATTTGCCTTCTAGAATGGGCACCTATTTCACCAGATGCAAATCCGATTGAAAACCTTTGGTCAATTACTGACCAAAAACTCAAAAATGAAAACATCAACAATATAAATGACTTGAAGGATGAAATTCAAGACATTTGGAACAAGATTTCAATTGACCTTTGCATTAAATTGGTAAATTCAAATTATATTTCTTGAATCATGTTTTCAGAGCTGAAGAATCCAACATTTTTCATATTAAATCAAATTCTAATGTTTTTTATCTAAAATTAGTACTATGTGCTAATTTTGACCAGCTTATTTTTCTGTATACTCCTGAATGAACTTTAAAATATGTTAACTTTAAATGTATAATTTTCATTCATTTTTGAAAAAAGTGAAATGTTATTCTTCAGATAAAAAATTGATTATAACTTTTCATTCAACCCTCTATCAAATTTCTATCATTCAATTTTTATTTTACAATTGTGCTATAATTTTGAACAGTGCTTTATATCTCTACAGTAATGTTGACAAAAAAACTTGCTGACTTGATTACAATTATTAACCAATTTTATACACACGGATGGTTCCATATTAAGTTACATTGTTTGGCAATAGATTGTGCTCAAAAATATTATCTAGTTCAATTATTAAGAAATGCAGTTATTGATATAAAATACAAGGAGATAATGGAAAAACTTTAAAACAAAATTTATTTTCCCAACACTGAGAATATATTATTAGCAATGGTAGATGATAAAAGAAAAGAAGTTAGAACTACAGCCATACAAAGAATAGGAGAACCAAAGATTACAGTAAATTAGTAAATTGGAACATTGAGGAAGTTAATTCACCACCTTTACTGAGTGTCTTTTCAAATGAAGATATTATGAAAGACAATGATAGTCCCTTAAGATATTATGAACGACAATGACAGTCCCTTAAGATATTATGAAAGTCAATGATAGTCCCTTAAGATATTATGAAAGACAATGACAGTTCCTTAAGATATTATGAAAGTCAATGATAGTCCCTTAAGATATTATGAAAGACAAT